CCGGCCGGGCCCCATGCCCCCACCCTGGCCAGGTCCCCCTGCAGAGCCCCCCTCCCCCCCAGCACATCCACACTCCCCCCCAGCTCGGTGCCATCTGCAAACTGGTGGGGGTGCCCTCGATCCCCTCGCCCAGGTCATGGATAAAGATGTTAAACAGAGCTGGATAATACGGCAAGAGAACTGCCCCAAGGAGATCCCCACCCGTCAGGATGCTCCCCGTAGTTACCCAACAGACATTTCAGAGGAGTCTAAGGCCAGGTTGGACGGGGCTCTGAGCAGCCTGATCTAGTTAGCGGTGTCCCTGCTCCTGCGGGGGGGTTGGACTAGATGACCTCTAGGGGTCCCTTCCAACCAAAAACATTCTGTGATTCTAAGTAAGAGCCCAGCCTAAGACCAAGATACGCAATTGCGTTTTTGCAATCTACGCCATGTCCACTCCTGTTTGCATCAATCACCACATAATCTCACCAACTAGAAAGGGATTGGCTAAGTGATGCAAACAGGATTTTACCTCAAAAGTCTTTCTGGCTACCCCCTCCAAAACCGACGCCGAAAGGCAACCCGCTTTAAGCCGTCGTATCAAGATGTCTTCGAAAACTTACAGAGGAGTCAGTGGGCAAGTCGGTGTCCCACTTGCGGCCTTTGAAATCCCCTCCTCTGTTCCAGCGGAAGGAACTCATGCATCCTCCCTGAGAAAGCTCTGAAAGCAACAAGATTTATTCAGTTACTGGGGGTTAAAAATAGATGAAAGTGGTGTTTTCCCCTTATTTCAGGGGCTTTGTACATCTTTCCGGTATGCAAAACAGGAAAAGTTCAGGTAATGAAATGCTTGTAAAGGTAAAAATACAGGGAGGTAAATTTACAGGGTAATTTTTATTTTTAATTAATGATGAGATTAAATCTGGCACTTTGCACCCCGAGCACGCAGGAGGAAAAGAAACAAAGTTTTAAAAAACATTCCCAAAGTTACATTCAAGTCCCGCCTTGAACGAGAAAGTCGGAAAGAAACATCTCTTCCTGCTTAAAAGCAGCTCTTATCCTTGGCGGATGAAAAGCTGGCCATGAGCTGGCCATGGGCGCTGCCAGCCCAGAAGCCAACCCTACCCTGGGCTGCATCAGGAGAAGCGTGGCCAGCGTCGAGGGAGGGGATTGTGCCCCTCTGCTCTGCTCTGGGGAGACCTCCCCTGGAGCCCTGCGTCCAGCTCGGGAGCCCTCAGCACAAGAAGGACATGGACCTGTTGGAGCGGGGCCAGGGGAGGGCTACTAAAATGCTCC